GCCGCCCGGCGGTGCCACCCTTGCGACGAAGGCCTAGCGCCAGCGCTCGTGCCCGGCCGCGGCGGGGAGGGAAACGGTCGGGCCACCGCGGACGGGGGCGCGCGTGGAGGGGCGGCGGGGTGGGCATGGGTCGCTGGGTTCCAGGGCAGAAGGGGTTAATGGGTCGGGGCGTGTGGCCTGCGAGGTGGCGGGTGTAAGGCCTTGGGAGAGGAGCAGGCCGCGGTGCTGCGGTGACACATCCCTGTCCCTGGGCCCCCCAGCGCCGACCCTGATTCCCCGCCTGTTTTCTTAGAAGCGGAGGTTGGTTTTCCTGCCCTAGAAAACTAGGGACAAATAGAAACGTCCTAAGGAGTGCGTACCGTCCCTCTGGGTCATCCCATCGCCAGCCAGCCGGGCGCAAGAATGTGTCCTGACCCACGGCTGACCTTCGATCAGTCACAGTGCCCTCCAGGATTCCTCAGGCTCCAGCAGCCCCCACTCCTTTTCCCTCCTGCATTGGGGTGATCAGGCCAGGCCCTCAAAGGAGTCTCAAATCGGTTGGGACCCACCCGATGACCGCCACGCCCTCCAAGGCCCTGCAGACCCGCCCACAGGACCATCCAGGGGTTAGGGCAGGAGGGGCCCTGGGGGTCCTGCCATTGGCCCTCAAGCCCCCCATGGAAAAGGGTGGGGAGCAGACGCGTCCTAACAGTTGAGCTGACCCCCTGCCTGCTGGGGACACAGGCTTAGTGCTGGCCACAGCCTCTTGCCTCCTCCCGCCCAGCCCTGGAGCCGAGGGGTCTGGGGGCTCACCCTGTCTGGGCCCAGAGGGAAGGGCATCACCCAGGCCAGAGCAGGAGGGGGTTCGAGCACATTCGTAGGAGGGTGGCTGGGGTGAGCTGGGATGTTGGGACTCGCTCTGAGCCTCAGTCCTCCCCCAGCACCCTCCAGGGTTGGTGGTGATCGTTGATGCTGTGGTGTGGGCCCATGGCACAGCTTCGCAGCTCGGGTCCGTGTGCTGTCACTGTCCCCAGGAGGAATGGCCTGACCCTCCCCCAGCCCCTAAGGCCTCTACCAGGAGCTGGCTGCCTCCTGCCCTCTGCAGAGCCGTAGCCCAGGGCCCTGGCTACTGGGGGTGGGGTATCCTCCAGGCTCTTTTGTGCCTGCTCAGTCGCCCCTCCTCCAGGCAGCCAGTACATGGGGTGTGACAGGCAGTGATGGGGTGGAGTGCTTCCTGCCCTGGACTTGGGCATTCCTCAGGACCCTCCAGGAGCAGGGTCATCCCGTCCGCCCAGGGAGCTCACCGGCCCGTGGGACCTCACAGGGGTCAGGGCTGGGTGGGAGGATGCCGCTGAGGGACCTGACCCACCCCTGAGGAACGTGCTGGGAAAGAGAAAGGTGGAGGAGAGGTGCAGGGGGCCAGGTGGGCATGGTGTCACAGGGAGCCGACAACCCACCCGAGACCCAGAACCCCCGGGGCCAGCTGGGTCAGAGTGTGTGGACCATCCTGTCCACCCAGGCCAGCTGGCTCCTGAGTCCAGCCCCTGTCGGGCAGTGCCACACACCACCCATCCTCCTCTGCCCCCCAGCGCCCCCAACCCCGGTCCCAGCTGAAGGCTTCACACCCGCATTGTTCGCTGCCTGAAGGAAGGCCTTCACACCAGCGTTGTTCGCTGCCTGGAGGAAGGCCTCACACCCGGTTGTTCGCTGCCTGGAGGAA